GCAAGAAGTCACCACTCCCTGCTCAATACACAGTGTTTCGGGAATTCACCCCTCATCAGTTGAGCTTGAGTAGGCTGAGGAAGATTGTGCCTGAAGAGCACCACTTATATAGTGCTCTCCAGGCACAAACATCACCAGGGATACAAACTTCCAGAGACGCTCCGTTTCCAGCGCGACAAACACCTCGTGAACACCAGATAGAAGCTTGAGTCAGTGTCGCTCCTGGACGGTGAGAACAGATGTCGAGGACCCTTGGTCATTCACAACGCTGTCACCTCCAAACCAGCTAGTCGCAAGCCCGCGCTGGACACAATAGTACGAAATAGTGGTTGCGACTTCGGCGATGATTTTTGGGAATGGGTTTGCTCCCACACTGGAGCTCGCGCTATTCCGCTGACTTGACTTGACACTTGACTGACTCACGACTGCCATCCAGAGCACACGAGAAGTTCATCGAACCTTCGACTCAACACACCTGCAAGAAAGTACCACTCCCTGCTCAATATACAGTGTCTTGGGGAATTCACCCCTCATCAGTTGAGCTTGAGTAGGCTGAGGAAGATTGTGCCTGATGAGCACCACTTATATAGTGCTCTCCAGGCACAATCATCACCAGGGATACAAACTTACAGAAACGCTCCGTTTCCAGCGCGACAAACACCTCGTGAACACCAGATAGCAGCGTGAGTCAGTGTCGCTCCTGGACGGTGAGACAGACGTCGAGGACCCTCGGTCATTCGCAACGCTGTCACCGCCAAACCAACTAGTCGCAAGCCCGCGCTGGGCACAACAGTACGAAGTAGTGGTTGCGACTTCGGCGATGATTTGTAAGAAAGGGTTTGCTCCCCACACCGGAGCTCGCGCTTTTCCGCCGACTTTACTTGACACTTGACTGACTCACGACTGCCATCCAGAGCACACGAGTAGTCCATCGAACCTTCGACTCGGCAAACCTGCAAGAAAGCATCACTCCCTGCTCAATACACAGTGTTTCGGGAATTCACCCCTCATCAGTTGAGCTTGAGTAGGCTGAGGAAGATTGTGCCTGCAGAGCACCACTTATATAGTGCTCTCCAGGCACAATCATCACCAGGGATACAAACTTACAGAGACGCTCCGTTTCCAGCGCGACAAACACCTCGTGAACACCAGATAGCAGCGTGAGTCACTGTTTGTGCCTGGAGAGCACTATATATGTTTCTCTTCAGGCACAATCTTCCTTAGCCTTCTCAAGCTCAACTGATGAGGGGTGAATTCCCCAAAACACTGTGTATTGAGCAGGGAGTGGTGCTTTCTTGCAGGTTTGCCGAGTCGAAGGTTTGATGGACTTCTCGTGTGCTCTGGATGGCAGTCGCGAGTCAGTCAAGTGTCAAGTCAAGTCGGTGGAATAGCGCGAGCTCCAGTGTGGGAGCAAATCCAGTCCTAAAAATGCATCGCCGAAGTCGCAACCACTATTTCGAATTTGTTTCTTTCAGAAAAACAAAACCTGTACATACGAACTATTTATCGTTCCTGAAATATGAGTGCTGAGGCTGAGACCTCAGGTCAGCGGGGATGCTCCGTTTCACCACCACAGTTGCGTCTTCAGCCACCTCTATCATGCAGTACTCTGTTCTTGAGGTTTGTGGTTTCTCGTCAAATAAGCGAGAGAGCTTGGAAGCTCAGGCCAGGGCCCTACGCTATGCTTTTTTGCCTAGCGAGAGTCAACTTTCTCTTTGCATTCGAGGGTAATACAACACCGTCTACCACCTTGATGACCTAGGCAAAAAAAGCATAGGGATGTTATAAATGTTTCATTTCACTATCGTCCTGCATGCATTCCCTCGATTCACTTCGCATACATACTCATTCTTCCAAGTTGCTTCACGTTATGATCTTGCATTTGAAAGCCCTATTTGAATATTGTGGCCAGCTGTCTTTGATGGTACGGTACGGCAGAGACAATTCCAAATAGGCAACTACTCGTACTCTATGTACGGACACAGTGTAGCTAGACTCTACTACCCAGCTAGCAGATATCCTAACAACAGACACTAGACAGCAGTCAGTATGCAATCATGCACAAAACACAGACACAGAAAATGTTCTGAAAATGTTTGGCCAGACAGGTTGGCGCCAATGCGTGACTTAAAGACTGTAAACCATGGTAAATAATGCATGCAACATTAGAAAACGACGAGCAAAAAGAAACACAATGCAGAAAGTAAAATATCGACGAAGAGATTGGATGAGGATATGGTTTCACTTGCGTGGGCCTTCGTGGTTCTTCATAGTAGGCGATCTCCGAAGGCGTACATACTCCGCCAGCGATGTAGTGGTGGACGTTTTCCGCTGCCACCAGTGTTAGCTGCTCCCGGCTAATGATGCCCCTCACACCGGAACACAGGGGTTTTATATGATTGGATAATTAGAAGTATTCGATAAGAGTGTAGACAGAAGGAGAACAGGACAACGACAACTCAAGACTAGACTAGAACAGAACAGAACTGGAGACCCACTGGAGTATGCGCTCTTCTATTATGTGAGTCTCATTGCCAAGGGGAACGAGCGGGAAATATGAATAGTGAGTATGTACAGGTCGTAGCATTAATACACCTATTACACAGGCACAGTGGTGGCCTGGGGGTGCGAAGGCTAGTTTGTGTGTTTCTGAACATTCAGGCGATGCCGACGCGGATCCCGCGAATAATAAGTGGCGGGGGACCCCTTACATACATTAGATGCCCGGTACATGAGTTCCGGGGAAAACACTGCTTAGCCACGCCAGCATCCCAGAATATGAAGACCACACGAGGACCAGCATCCACGCTGCTACTTGGGCCAAATGATTTGTTGTCCTCACTGTGGAAACAGAGCATGACGGTATACTGCACCCCTACAATTCTAGTGATGTATGGGCTGTTTGAGCGAGAGTATGTATTTTTGTACTAACATAGCACATAGTAATATTATTACCGATTAGCTCTACTAAATCAAGACTCCAGTGTTGAGGGGTGACTGATGATTCCCTGCAACATTCTCTATTGAACAGAGAGTGGTGCCATCTTGCAGATTCGCTGAATGGAACATCCAAAATGCTTCTTGTGCACTATGAATGGCAGGCGTGAGTTCGTTAAGTGGCAATTAATTATGTTGTTAATATCCATTAGGGTACCTCAACTCGAATTTTCCAAATACGGTCTCTTCGCTGCACACGTCACTTCAAAATACACAAATAATTGAATTCACCAAATTTTCAGGCATGGCCCATCCTCAGGGTGAAATCATTCAATGTGAAAGTTTTCACCCCGAGGATGGGCCATGCCGGAAAATTTGGTGAATTCAATAATTTATTCCCGTAGCTATGCAGAAGACGTTACTTCAGTAACATCTGGCGCTAGCCAGGGTCCACACAGCTTTAATTTGGTGTTTGTTTGTGGCGGACGGACCTCCGTCTGGCTCTATCCCGTATCTGTCCCGTACCGTACCGTACCATCAAAGACAGCTGGCCACAAACAGCTGGCCACAATATTCAAATAGGGCTTTCAAATGCAAGATCATAATGTGAAGCAACTTGGAAGAATGAGTATGAATGCGAAGTGTATCGGGTAATGCATGTAGGGCGATTGTGCGGGTTCGAATCCCAGGTTATGATTAAAAAAAATATAGGAGAATTGAAAAACTTATAACATCCCTTTGCTTTTTTGCCTAGGTCATCAAGGTGGTAGACGGTGTCGTATTACCCTCGACCGTACCTGTCCCGTACCGTACCGTACCATCAAAGATAGCTGGCCACAAACAGCTGGCCACAATATTCAAATAGGGCTTTCAAAGGCAAGATCATAACGTGAAGCAACTTGGAAGAATTAGTATGTATGCGAAGTGTATCGGGGATGCATGCAGGGCGATAGTGCGGGTTCGAATCCTAGGTTATGTCTTGGAAAAAATAGGAGAAATGAAAAATTTACTTTGCTTTTTTTTGCCTAGGTCATCAAGGCAAAAAGCATAGCGTAGCTTCCAAGGTCTCTCGTTTTCTTTGAAGTGACGTGTGTAGCGAAGAGACTGTATTTGGAAAGTTCGAGTTGAGGTACCCTAATGTATGAGTGGCTGCAGTGGAGTCTGCGAGTGCTTAGAAAGGTTTGGCAATATCCAATAAAACAAAGATGGTGGCAGTGACCTTGAATTGGTAGTGTTTTTTAAGGGCGCGTTTGGTTGGTACGAACTAGAACAGGATTCACCAGAACAGCGCGTTTGGTTGGGACTGCACCTTTTCTGGGTCGGCCAGAACATGTTCTGCTTGCTCCGGCCTCGAGGCCGGAGCAGACCGAGCAGTTTCACTTTTTCACAGTGAAACCTGGCGGGAACATCGATTTTGTTCCCAAATGATCACGTGCATACGCTTTTGGGTTGGACTCGTCGTACCGTACTAAGTGACCATGGTGACCCATACACATTTTGAAGAATGCACCAAGTTTGGCACATTTTTCCACAAAAATGTGCTCTGTTTCTGGAGTACCGTTTGGTTGGCATGAGGCTGCTCCATGTGCACCAGCTGTTTGATCCTGTTCTAGATCGTACCAACCAAACGCAGCCTAAGTGTGACTTAGGCTCCAGAAAATACGGTATACTGATACGACAGGATTTTATTTATACTGATACGACAGGATTTTATTTATACTGATAGAGTGGGTCGGGGGTCGGGGGGGGGGGGCATGCGCAATCCACAATTTGCATGTCAAATTGATCAGCATGACGTCATCTTTTGTTTCAAACCAAGTCAATTGTTGACAATATGGCCGAGGTTTTGCAAAACGAAAATGTGCAAACGTTCTAGGTTATGAATCGTGAACCTTAGTGCGTGAAACTCAGAGTTAAAACACTTTTCTCGTCCTTTTATTGTTTGCACTAGCTCTGCCTCTCGGTATTGAGCACTCTCTTGGACACCCTAGGCAAACTTTCCTGTTGAGTACCTGTCTGAAATAACATGCATGTGGTGTTTTTGTTCTATTGTCTGTCCTCAGACATTTATCACGTTTCACGAGTTGCTCATGGATGGAAGTGAAGATCCGAATGATCTTGTCATCATGGTGAGCGGTGCTGGAGAAGTGGGCAAGTCCACCATGATAGCTACACTCACCAGTACGACTGACACGCGGAAGGAAGATCCTGAAAGAACCAAGGGAATCCAGATCACGACACATCAGGTCAAAGACGGACCTGTGCTACACTTCAAGGACATGGCAGGCCAGGAAGACTTCTGCGTGACACATGACATCTTCTCGCTGTCCTCAGCCGTTCCCAGTATTGGCCTGATCACAGTGAGGGGAACAATGGACATCGAGGACATCAAGTATAGCATGAAGAAAACTGCTGGCCGTTTCTTGAGCAGACGGAAGGCACCTGTTGTCTCAGGTAAGATCCATACTTTGTCATGCATTATCCATATGTGAAAACAAACAAACTGGCCACCCAACTTAAAAGTAGTGCTGTCGCCTTTTTTTCATGACCAACAAATTTGATCTGTGATGTCATTTTGTCATAAATTTCTAGCCAAGTCACAAAGATAATGAGTTTTACTGTGCATGTGGGAGGCCTCTGGCATCGTGAGTTACGGTGCATTTCCACAAAGTGATATCGGCAGTACACAAATAGTGGAGACCAGCTCTCTCCATGCACTGACTGTAGTGTAGACCAGCTCTCCATGCACTGACTGTAGTGGAGACCAGCTATCCATACACTGAGTGTAGTGGAGACCAGCTATCCATGCACTGACTGTGGTGGAGACCAGCTCTCCATGCACTGACTGTAGTGGAGACCAGCTATCCATGCACTGAGTGTAGTGGAGACCAGCTATCCATGCACTGAGTGTAGTGGAGACCAGCTATCCATGCACTGAGTGTAGTGGAGACCAGCTATCCATGCACTGAGTGTAGTGGAGACCAGCTATCCATGCACTGACTGTAGTGGAGACCAGCTATCCATGCACTGACTGTAGTGGAGACCAGCTATCCATGCACTGACTGTAGTGGAGACCAGCTATGGCTATGGGGTGCACTTGCCTTTGAGTCTAAGTGTGAAGTTCTTTGGCTTTCAGGTTCATGATAGCACTGGCCGCTCAGTACCACATGTTCAATTTGTCCTATCTACCACGCAAGGCAATGATCAACACATCTTTGATGAGGCATCTTTTCTTGAGACAAGCATTGTTCTTTGCCGCACTGATCAAATTGTGGCAAAATGGACAAATATATTGTACAATCTAATCAGCACTCCATCTCCATGCAACATTAACACTCGCACCAGGAGACTGTGCCCACTCCGGTTTCAGGAGGCCAAACTTCTTTGATGCATGCAGCTTCCTTCTGACTTGCTACAAGCTCCACATAGCATTCCACAAACTCTGGAGCTCCTTGCTGGTGTATTCCGGCTTCCTGGAGTATGCTCACAAATGAACGACTTTTCTTCAGGTAAATGCTCCAGGGTAGTGGTTGTCACACATTGTAGGACAGAATTTGACACAACAGTTTGTGCAAGGTCTAGAACGTCAAACGACAATCACTCAGCAAACAAAAGTCAATAGGAAAATGCAGGGTGCAAAGAGAAGACTGTAGCTTGTCTACTTCCAGCAGACTGTCTACACCATGTGTATAATTCTGCGGTGCAGTGCACGATGAACATTTTGTGGCCAATACCTTCTACGGATGCCGGTGCATGCACTGCGCTTGTACATTGTATGGCAGTCTGGCACGGGTGACTGGTGTACGTATCGGTACAGGATCATGTACCAAATCGTGTACGGGATCGTTATTCGGAGTTTGATTGGGAATAAAGGAGGAAGAAATTGACTCCGCTTCCTTGGACCAAGACCATTCGACTTAGCACCCCGATTTTTTGAAAGGTAGAGTCCTAGGATGTTTTGCTAAACGTGATCCTTTGATAGCTGACTCTACCCAAATATCTTCCGATAATGCCCTTGTATAAGATACGACACACTGAGCTATTCCGTTACCGTGCTTGCAGGGCTTGATCTAGTTCTAGCAGACAAGTGAAATGATCTTAAAGCTTATATTTTTGTAGTATTTAATTGGTGGCATGAGGTAAGTGATTTTGTGCCACTTATTGCTAAGTGCGCTCCACTGTGCAGCCGTTCTCAGATGCCACCAGTTCATACCGAGAGAAGTCTTCTTTTTTTCTTTCTTTTTGTTTGCATTGTCCCGATGATCACATTCTCCCCTGCAGGCAAGCAGGTCTCATCGTTGTTCACAGTTTTGGTGGTTGTGACTCACCTAGACAAGATCAAAGAGGAAAAACTTGATGCGATCACTGATGTGTACCAGGTAGTCTGCAACGAATTCCGAAAGAAGCTTTCGTTCAAGCGATTTCTACCATTGAATGCAAAGGAAAAGGATGAGCGTTTCGCAGCATTCGAGGAACAGCTGATATCTGTCTGCATGGAAGAGTTGAAGGTACGTTAAGAGAGTGCAGGAGGAAGAGAGAAAAAACAGAGAGGGAGAGAGAGACAAAAATGAATGACATTAGTTAACAATGTTAGGTAACAAGCGGGTACCGGATGGGTTCAAGAAACCTTCTATTGTCACAACATACACAAACTCATAGATTGGCCTGGTCAAACTTTGCATTCCTATAATGTCTTTGCACACAACATCTAACAAAGAGCATAATTATTTTGACGGTTCCATAGGAATATGTGCGTGTGTGTGTGTATGCGTGCATGCGTGCCTGTGTGTGTGTGTGTGCGTACGTGCGCGCGTGCGTGCATGCGTGTGTGTGTGTGTGTGTGTGTGTGTGTGTGTGTGCATGTGTGTGTGTGTGTGTGCATGTGTGTGTGTGTGCATGTGTGTGTGTGTGTGTGTGTGTGTGTGTGTGTGTGTGTGTGTGTGTGTGTGTGTGCATGTGTGTGTGTGTGTGTGTATGTGTGTGTGTGTGTGTGTTTGTGTGTAGTTAGTACAACAGTCACTGAGGTTGTTGGCTATTGTGACATTCACTACCCTACTTTATTGTTTATGCTATCTCACTGACTGTTCCTCTCTCTCTCTCCCCCCCCCCCTCTCTCTCTCTCTCTCTCTCTCTCTCTCTCTCTCTCTCTCTCTCTCTCTCTCTCTCTCTCTCTCTCTCTCTGTCTCTGTTTCTGTCCGTCTTTCTGTCTATCTGTCTCTGCCTGTCTATCTCTGCCTGTCTATCTCTGCCTCTCTTTGTCTCTCTGTCTCACTCTGTCTCTCTGTCCCTCTGTCTCTGTCGCTCTCTCACTCTCTCTATCTATATATCTCTCTCTCTCACTTTCTCTTTCTCCCTCTCTCTCGTGCGTTTTTCGTTGTGCATCGTCAGGCTATGTCTTTATATCTATGTATTGTGCTGTGCTATCACAGACGGCTCCAAAGCAACCGAAGATTCTGAGTCAGGCAACAGAAGTATTGAGTTCACTGCAGAAAGAGGTTGGCAAGCCGTACTCCAGCAAGGACATGTTCACAAACAGCCTTTGCGCCGCACTTAACCTGACGAAGCTTAACAATCCGGAGACTATTGACAAGCAGGTGACGTCATTCACGAAAGTACTGACTGCATATGGAATGGTAAGCAGGATAGATCATCTTTAGATTGTTCTTCTCAGTGACCAAGAATATTCTCTGTTATGGAGGAGTTAGCTCTTAAAGGCCAACAAAACCCAGTTCTGGTTAGCTGGAAGCGGTCCACTCAAAGCATATTTCCGGCACATCACCGAAACTGTCGCTTCGTTTGAACAATGTTTAACAACAATGGCCAACTCCTTCGAGGTTGGGTCAATCCAGCTTTCAAGAATTGCTGGACAATAAAAAAAGAGACCACAATGATTGATTCATATTGGTCAAGGACCAGGGGCGTGGCCACCGGTCCAGTTGGTCGATTTTCACCGGACCACATTTAGGGCGGATTTTTTCTGTTTTTTTTTAGACAGCTGATGGGAGTTCGGTGATCAATCGGGTGCAGTAGTGTATGCCAGATGTATGCAGTAGTGTATGCATTATATACGCAGCGCAGACCAGGCCAGGGAGCCATGCATGTACCTTGTGCTATGTGCAGAGCTCCGGCTGCCAGGGACAGACCGACGGTACAGGTTGTTTTGCTTCATGTTGGTCGAGTGTGGGAGATGGCTGCGAAAGCTTGAAGGTGTCTGCTCATAGACTCCCTGATGTTTCCTAGCCTGCACACGTTTCCTTTCACAAATGTTTGTTCGGGAAAACGAAGCCTATAATTATGTGCTCCTGTAAGCCCCAGTGGTTCACCAACTGGTCTTTCCTCCGTTGTGACAAGTTCTGGGAAACAGTATACATAAACATAGATAGACCTTGATTTGGTCATATCATTTTAAACACAAGGTTTAAATGGTTAAAATTAATGTCCAACCAGACCAATCAAAGTGTGGTGGCTACGGCCCTGAGGACTGTTGGAAGATTGGATTTTGAGAATTTATCGTTTTGACAGAAAGAACTAAACGTCTGAGCCGAAAAAAAATAGTGTCCTTGCAACTCTGGCAAAGACATAAAGATTACATACACCAGAAGACCTGCTTGTATGGCAAATGGCATGACGCGTAGCTATGCAACTACTGGTCAGCACACACGAAGCATGCATTTAGTGCAAGGGTACAGCGTGGCTAAAGTGGACCACAATGAGACCACGCACTGCTATCGGAAGCATAGAAGTAGTGGGCTTCTTGTCAGAACATACTTTGATATGCAGCAATACACCTGTGCCCTGAACAACGTCATCAATTAGCACGTGTTCTTCAAAGTACATCTTATGAGAGTAGGTACTATGCTAACACTGTACTCTATTTCAAGGTAAATACAGGCATGTCAAGGAGGTGCCCGGGATTGATGTTTTTCTAATTGCATTCTATTCTCTGAATCCTCTCTGCCATGTATCACAGATCGTTTCTTTCAATGCTGCGCAACTGAAGGATCTCATTGTCAACCGTCCTGGCTGGCTATTGGAGCATGCCGTCGGTGTTCTCTTCTCACCG